CCCCCCCTGTGCTGTCCCCAGGGGTGGTGGCCGTGGTGGTGGCCGGGCCCTGCTCGGTGCCGGGGCTGCTCTGGAAACTGGGACCGGCCCTGGCCATGGGTGAGTTGGGGGGGGGGTCCTGGGGGCCAGGAGGGGGCTCTGGGGGCGAGGGGGGAGTCTGGGGACATGGGGGGACTCTGGGGACAAGGGGGGGGGCTCTGGGGATGAGGAGGGGACTCTGGGGATGAGGGGGGAACTCTGGGGACATGGGGGGGCCCTAGGAGTCTGTGCAGGGCTCCTGGGTGTTTTGGGGGTCCCAGGGGTCTGTGTGGGATCACGGGTGTCCATGTAGAGGTCGCAGGTGCTTTGGGGGTCCCAGGGATCCCTGCAGGGGTCCCGGGTGTTTTGGGGGTCCCAAAGGTCCATGTAGGGGTCCCAGGTATTTTGGGGGTCCCAGGGGATCCATGAGGGGCTCCCAGGTATTTTGGGGGTCCCAGGTGTCCGTGCAAAGGTCCCGGGTGTTTTGGGGCTCCCAGGTATTTTGGAAGTCCCAGGGATCCATGTAGGTGTCCCGGGTATTTTGGGGGTCCCGGGTGTTTTGGGGATCCCAGATGTCCATGTAGAGGTCTCGGGTGTTTTGGGGGTCCCGGGTGTTTTGGGGGTCCCAAGTGTTCTGGGGGTCCCAGGGATCCACGCGGGGGGTCCCAGTTGTTCCGGGGGGGGGTCTCTGCAGGTAACACGGTGCTGGTTCTGTGCCCCCCCGATTCGGCGCCGCCGCTGCTGTACCTGGCGGAGCTGGGCAGGGAGGGGGGGGCTCTGCCCCCGGGGGTCCTCAACGTGGTCACGGGACCCCTCCCCGAGCTGTGCCGGGCCCTCCGCACCCACCCCGAGGTCGCCGCCGTCACCTTCCTGGGCGCCCCACAGGTACCGGGGTTATGGGGTGGAGGGAACCCGAGCGAGGCTTGGGGGGGGTCCCTGTGCCCCCCGGTGCCCCCCACACATCCCCACGTGTGTTTTCCCCCCCCCCAGGAGCAGGTGCAGGCCCTGGCCTGGGGGTCCCCGTGCCGGGGGCCGCGTTTGGGGTGGGCCCGGGGGGGCCCCGTGGTCGTCGTGGTCCTGGACTCTGCCGACCTGGACGGAGCTGCTGCTGCCATCGTGGGGGCTGTGGGGACCCCCCCGGCCCTGGTGAGTCTGGGGGGGCTCTCAGGGGGGCCCGGGGGGCTTCCAGGAGCCCCCCTGACCCCTGCTTGTGTCCACAGTTCCCGTGGGGGGGCTGCGTGGTGCTGGCCCAGGAGGGGGTCGTGGGGTCGCTGGAGCGGCGGCTCCGGGCCCGGTTCGGGGGGCTGCGGGTCGGGGACCCCCTGGAGCCCAACACCGACGTGGGGCCGCTGCCCCCCGGGGCCCCCCACCCCGGGGGAATGGTGGGGGCGGCGTTCGAGGAGGGGGCTGAGGTGAGCGGGGAGCAGGGGAGGGATTTTGGGGGGACCCGGAGGGGTTTGAGGCGAGGGGAGACCCTGAGGGGGGATGTGAAAGGCCCGGAATGAAGAGGAGAGGGGGGCCATGGGGACATTGGGGTGACACGAGGGGTCTGGGGAGGGGACGTGGTGTCATTTGGGGGGGTTCCCGGACGCTGGGGTTCCCCTTGGGGGGGGTTTGGGAGATTTTGGGCTTTGTGGGGTTTGGGGTTTGGGGTTTGGGGGTTCCTGGCTGTCGGGGCTCTCTCAGGGGACACTTTGGGGGGTTCCTGCCCCTCGGGGTCTCCCGGGGATGGAATTTGGGGGTTTCTGGCCGTTATGGGGGGGGTGGAGTTTGGGGTTCTTTGCCCAGCAGGGCCTTTGTGTGTCCCCCCCTCGTGTCCCCCCCCAGGTTTTCCAGCCTGTGCCGCCGCCGCCGCCGGGGGGGGGTCGTTTCTACCCCCCCGCCCTGATCACGGGGGTCGCCCCCACCTCGCGCTGCCTGCGGGAGCCGGTGGGTGCCCCGGGGCAGGGAGGGGGGTCAGGGGGGGTCTGGTGCAATTTGGGGGTCTCCTGACGCACCCCCCGCCCCCCCCCCCAGGTCACGGGGCCGGTGCTGGTGCTGCTCCCCGTGCGCTCCCCCGTTGAGGCCGCGGCCGTGGCCTCGTCCCTGCCCTTTGCAGCCGCCTCCGTCTGGGCCCAGGACGTCACCGCGGGCCTGGACACGGCCCAGAGGTCGGTGGGACCCCCCCCGAGACCCCCCCACCCCCGTGACCCTCCACCCCAAATGTTTGAGGTTTGCCCCCCCCACAGGCTGCCCCAGGGGCTCGTGTGGCTCAACGAGCTCAACCTGCTGGACCCCGGCGGGGGCTGCGCCGCGGGGGACGCGGAGACCACCCTGGAGGAGGTGGGGGGGGGGGGTCTCCAGTGGTTTGGGGGGGGTCTCGAGTGGTTTTGGGGGGGTAGAGGGGTTGGGGGGG